ATCAGAAGACACTATAGGCCGGGTGCGGTGGCTCAAGCCTGTAATCCCAGCACTTTGGGAGGCCGAGACGGGCGGATCACGAGGTCAGGAGATCGAGACCATCCTGGCTAACACGGTGAAACCCCGTCTCTACTAAAAAATACAAAAAACTAGCCGGGCGAGGTGGCAGGTGCCTGTAATCCCAGCTACTCGGGAGGCTGAGGCAGGAGAACGGCATAAACCCGGGAGGCGGAGCTTGCAGTGAGCTGAGATCTGGCCACTGCACTCCAGCCTGGGCGACAGAGTGAGACTCCGTCTCAAAAAAAAAAAAAAAAAAAAAGACACTATAAAAATAGTGAAAGAGCAAGCCACAAATGAAAAGATACTGAAATGTATGTAATTTATAGACTTGTATGACTCAATAAGAAAAAAGTTAACCTTATTTATAGAAAAATGGGCAAAACTGGCCAGGCTTGGTGGCTCACACCTGTAATCCCAGCACTTTGGGAGGTGGAGGCAGGTGGATCACCTTGAGGTCAGAAGTTCGAGACCAGCCTGACCAAAATGCAGAAACCCCCATCTCTACTAAAAGTACAAAATCAGCTGGGTGTGGCGGCGCATCCCTGTAATCCCAACTACTTGGGAGGCTGAGGCACGAGAATCACTTGAACCCGGGAGGCGGAGGTTGCAGTGAGCCAAGATTACACCATTGTACTGCAGCCTGGGTAACAAGAGCGAAACTCTGTCTCAAAGGAAAAAAAAGAAAAAGTGGGCAAAACCAATTAATAGGAACTTTGCAAGAGAAGGAACACAAGTGACTATTAACATGGGAACAAAAATGTATTCCACCTCATTAGTAACTGGGGAAGTGCAAATGAAAATTGCATTGGGATATCATTTCATAATACAGAATTGGCAAAAATTTTTTTTTTTTTTTTTTTTTTTTGAGATGGAGTCTCGCTCTGCCGCCCAGGCTGGAGTGCAGTGGCCGGATCTCAGCTCACTGCAAGCTCTGCCTCCCGGGTTTACGCCATTCTCCTGCCTCAGCCTCCCCAGTAGCTGGGACTACAGGCGCCCGCCACCTCGCCCGGCTAGTTTTTTGTATTTTTTAGTAGAGACGGGGTTTCACCATGTTAGCCAGGATGGTCTCGATCTCCCGACCTCGTGATCCGCCCGTCTCGGCCTCCCAAAGTGCTGGGATTACAGGCTTGAGCCACCGCGCCCGGCCGCAAAAAAATTTTAAGGTCAGATATTACCAAGTGTTGGGGAGGTTGTGGAGCTACAGGAACTCTTATACTCATTCACTGCTGTTGGTAAGAATATTATCCTCTTTGGGCCAGGTGCAGTGGCTCACGCCTGTAATCCCAGCACTTTGGGAGGCCGAGGTAGGCGGATCATGAGGTCAGGAGATCAAGACCATCCTGGCCAACATGGTGAAACCCCATCTCTACTAAAAATACAAAAATTAGCTGGGCGTGGTGGCGTGCGCCTGTAGTCCCAGCTACTTGGGAGGCTGAGGCAGGAGAAATGCTTGAACCCGGGAGGCAGAGGTTGTGATGAGCCAAGATTGCGCCACTGCACTCCAGCCTGGTGACAGAGTGAGACTCAGTCTCAAAATAATAATAATAAATAAATAAATAAATAAATAAATAAATAAATAAATAAATAAAACAGAACCACAAACTGGATGGCTTAAAGCAAATGGATGCTCTCACTGTTCTGGAAGCCAGAATTCTGAAACCAAGGTGTCAGCAGGCCTGCGCTGTTGCAGTTCTAGGAAGAATCTTTCTTTGCTTCTTCCCAGCTTCTGAGGGTGGCCAGCGATCCTTCTGTTTGGGCCTTACAGCTGCATCCCTCCAGACTCTCTGCCTTTGTCATCATACATTCTCTGTGTGTCTGTCTTTACATAGTCTTCCCTCTCAGAAGGACACCTGTCCGATTGGAGTAAGGGCCCACCCTACTCCAATATGACTTCATTTTAACTAATTACGTCTGCAGCAATCCTGGTTCCAACTAAGGTCACCTTCTAAAGTTAGGACTTCCACTTGCTTTTTAGGGGACACAATTCAATCAATAACAGGGAGATAAGGCCGGGGTTATCTTCCTGTTATTGACTGATAACATCCCTTGCTATTATCTTAATTTTTATTCTTTTATTCTTTTTTAATGAGTTTACTAGGAAATTATTTTAGATGTCTCCTTCTCACTTAGCAAGTGAGTAAATAAAAAGTTTAAATGAACTTAATTTAATGTTTATAAGCCCAGCACTTAGGGAGGCCAAAGCAGGAGGATCGCTTGAGCCCAGTTCAAGACCAACCTGGGTGACACAGTGAGACACTGTTTCTACAAAAAATTTAAAATTTTCCAGGTGTGGTCGTACACGCCTGTAGTCCCAGCCGCTTAGCTGGTGAGGCAGAAGGATCACTTGAGGCCAGAGGCAGAGGTTGCAGTGAGCCGTGATCACACCACGGCACTCCAGACTGGACGACAAACAAACAAACAAAAAAAGTAGCAGAAGGATAATGTTTTATCTAATTAGGATTCAAAATTAGCATTCCTTATCATCAAAATTGATCACAAATGCTCATCTGTAGCAATCAATCTTAGCTCCAGGGCCATACACAAACAGGTGGTGGGTCAGATTTGGCCTGGGGCCATAATTTGCGGACTGTTGATTTAGACTCAGACCTAGGTACTAGGAATAATGAAAAAACAAGGGAATGAATAATAACATTTAAGGTAGTTTTCGTTCTGTGGGGTGGGGGAAGGAAGGAGGATAGAGTTGGAGAGGAATATACAGGTGGCTTCTGGGGTATTGGTAATATTCTATTTCTTGCCTTGATACTACTGTTCATTTTAATTTTGTTCATTAAACAATACACATTGTTTTACGTGCTTTTTATGTGTGCTATATTTCACGAAAAATAATTTCAACCTCTCTGACTCCTCCCCACTTCTCCACCCTCCCTCCTTCTTACCAAACCAATTATTCCTTATTTTAAAACCGCTTCCCACTTTTACCTCTGATCTCTTCTGGAGTGTAATCCTCTGGGTTTTACAAGAGTTTTATGTTCTTTTATTAACAAACCTGTTAATCTATTACCAATCTCAGGTCATTCCTCTTTCTTTGTCATTGTTGCTTTTGCTCTTCTCTCTCCATTCTTTTCCTTAAGCAGACTTTTAAATTTGCCCTTAGAAAGTAAAAAAGAAAGTGGGTTTCCCTTGCTGTTATCTTACTTTATTTTATTCTTTTAGTTTTTCTTTTATGAGTTTACTAGGAAATTATTTTAGATGTCTCCGTTTCACTTAGCAACTGAGTAAGCAGAAAGTTTAAGTGAACTAAATGAAATGGTGGGAGGCCAGGGTGGGAGGATCACATAAGGCCAGGAGTTTGAGACCTGCCTGGGTAACATACCAAGCCCCTGTCTCACAAACAGTTTTAAAAAGTAGTTGGGTATGGTGATGTGCGCCTGTAGTCCCAGCTGCTTGTGAGGCTGAGATGGGAAGATCACTTAGGCCCAGGAATTCAAGGCTGCAGTGAGCCATGGTTGTGCCACTGTACTCCAGCCTGGGTAACAGAGCTGTCTGGAAAAGGAAAAAAAAAAAAAAAAAGCACGTAGGAGTTCAAGGCCAGCCTGGGTAAGATGGTGAGACCCCATTTCCATTTAAAAAAACAAAAACAAAAAACAGGCTGGCCGGGTGCGGTGGCTCACACCTGTAATCTCAGCACTTTGGAAGGCCGAGGTGGGTGGATCATGAGGTCAGGGGTTCAAGACCAGCCTGGCCAACATGGTGAAACCTCATCTCTGCTGGAAATACAAAAATTAGCTGGGCATGGTGGTGCACACCTGTAGTCCCAGCTACTCGGGAGGCTGAAGCAGGAGTATCGCTTGAACCTGGGAGGCAGAGGTTGCAGTGAGCTGAGATCGTGCCACTGCACTCCAGCCTGGGCGACAGAGCGAGACTCCATCTCAAAAAACACACACACACACAGCACACACACAAAAATAATGAAATGGGCACAGGGACCTGTCAGTACATTTGAATCAGAATATTTCAGATCAACCTGCAGCAATTTGTGAGACTTCTCGGTTTGTTTATTTAAAACAGCTCTTTTGAGATGTGATTCACGTACCACACTATTCACTCATTTAAAATATGCAATTCATTGGCTGTTAATATATTCACAGAGTTATGCAGCCATCACCACAGTCAATTTTAAAACCTTTTAATCATCCCAGAAAGAAACCCCTCAACCCTCCGTTGTCAGCCTCCAACCCCTCCCACTTCCAGCTCGAGGTAACTTCTGATCTTTGTGTCTCTATAGGTTTGCCTATTCTGGACATTTCATGTAAATGGCATCATCTGTGGTCCTTCCTGACTGGCTTCTTCCACTTAGCAGAATGTTTTTGGTTCATCCATGTTGTGGTTTATAGCAGTACTTTATTTCTGAACATTATTTCATTGTATGCATGGCTACACCACATTCTGCTTATCTGTTCATCAGCTGATGGACATGTGGGTTGTTGCCACCCTGGCTATTATGAGCGTTCGTTGAACAATTGTTTGTTTTTAGATAATTTCTTTTAAGTGGCATTTAGTCATTGTGGAAAATTTGAAAAATATTAAAGAATATAAAGAATATGATAAAATTTACTCATAATCCCGCCACTCAAAAAAAAAAAAAAGCTTTATTGACATGTTTTCTGTGGGAAAAAAATGCACGTTTATATAATTTGTTTTATAATTCTTCATTTCTCTTGAAGATTTGCTTTGCATTTGAACAGGTTTTGTTTGCCAAATCACAGCAAGACTGGCCAACTGCAGTTGTCGTAAATAATTTATAAGTCATTGTGCAGTGGGAGTACAGTGGAGTTATCTGCCATCAGATGGGCATGGGGAGGGTTTAGAGAAAATTTCAGAGGAGGAAACATATATTGTAAAAATATGTATGAGGTTCTGATACCCATCAGTAAATAAAATATTGGGTCTTCTAATAAGGTCATTTTGTTCTGTTGTAGGAGGCTGGCAGGATGTACAGTCTTTATCACAGGTGCAAGCCGTGGCATTGGCAAAGCTATTGCATTGAAAGCAGCAAAGGATGGAGCAAATATTGTTATTGCCGCAAAGACTGCCCAGCCACATCCAAAACTTCTAGGCACAATCTATACTGCTGCTGAAGAAAGTGAGTGTGACAGTGCCATTTGATAAAATGTCTTTCTAGTGGTTTCAATACATAGAGAATTTGCTGGAGAGTTTAGATAAAGCTGTTTGAAAGCTACCCTGAAAATAATTGTATCTAGTGAAAGAAGTATTTATGTTGTCACCTTGGGGCAGTGCTTCTTACCATTTTTCTCCTCCAGCACTTTTAAGCAATGTGAGAGATTCCATTTAAAAATCTTATTTCATGGCTTGGCGTGGTGACTCACACCTGTAATTTCAGCACTTTGGGAGGCTGAGGCGGGTGGATCACCTGAAGTCAGGAGTTCGAGACCAGCCTGGCCTACATGGCAGAAACCCTGTCTCTACTAAAAATACAAAAATTAGCTGGGTGGGGTGGTGCACACCTGTAATTCCAGCTACTCTGGAGGCTGAGGCAGGAGAATCACTTGAACCTGGGAGGCGGAGGTTGCAGTGAGCCAAGATCATGCCGCTGCACTCTAGCTCGGGTGACAGAGCGAGACTCTGTCTCTAAATAAAAAAAAAAAAATCTTGTTTCATGAGGGCAGTGATCTTGGATGGGAGAGGGAGTGGGGAAGTAGAGTGGAGAGAATTTGATTGGCAAGTGGCATGAACTCTTTGAAAAAGCTTTATGTGTTATTTATTCTCTGCACAATTTGCAAGTCATCATTTTAATAACTTTTAGTTGACAAATAATTATCACATACTTCTATTTAAGGCATGGTGCTAGGCACAGAGCCAGGAGAGAGGGCTTAAAAATTCAACTTCAGTTGACATTGCTAGTTTTGTTAGTCATGTTCAGAGCACTGTGGTTATGTTAGAGGAATGCATGTGAAGTGTTTATGAGTGAAATGATGTCAGGGATTTGCTTTAAAACACACCAGCAAAAAATAAAATAGGGGAAAGGAAAGATAAACATATTAACTGACAAAACTAACAATCATTGAAGATAGATGATGGGTTCCTATTAGTTTATTATAGCATCTTTACATTTTTGTATACTTTAGAATATTTCCACAATAAAAAGTTTTTTAAAATTACTTTCAACTGGGTGAGGTGACTCATGCCGGTAATCCCAGCACTTTGGGAGGCTAAGGCTGGTGGATCACTTGAGGTCAGGAGTTCCAGACCAGCCTGGGCAACATGGCAAAACCGCGGCTCTACAAAAAATAGAAAAATTAGCCTGGCATGGTGGTGCATGCCTGTAGTCCCAGCTACTTGGAAAGCTGAGGTGGGAGGATCCCTTGAGCCCAGGAGATTGAGGCTGCAGGGAGCCATGTTTGTGCCACTGCACCCGAGCCTGGGCAAGAGAGTGAGACCCTGTCTGAAAAACGAAAACAAACAACAACAACAAAAAACTTCCTTTTTTTTAGCTTTTTAAAAACAGTTACAAAGAAACCGCCACCAAACCTTCGTTTTTGTTTTATAATAGTGTTGGCCTATCTAGTCTGTCCTACTATATGGCAGAGTCACTGGTGGTAAGATAGAGTTATTTATATTGATTTTCCAAACACAGGGTACTTATTTCTTTTGACCGTGATATTGGAATCAAAGGTATAATATTTAAATGCTTTAACGCTTTTTCGTTTTGTATCCTTTATATAAGTTGAAGCAGTTGGAGGGAAGGCCTTGCCGTGTATCGTTGATGTGAGAGATGAACAGCAGATCAGTGATGCAGTGCAGAAAGCCGTCAAGAAATTTGGAGGTAACAACTTCATTCTGAAAAAATTATTGAATATTGGTAAAATAAAGGTATAACTATAATGTTAATTTAAAAATTTGTTTTGATTCTTGAATTTTCTGAGTCATTGGAGAAATAATGTATTTGTTCACGCAGAACATGGTTTAAAAGCATCTGATGAGGCCGGGCGCGGTGGCTCACACCTGTAATCGCAGCACTTCAGGAGGCCGAGGCAGGCAGGTCACTTGAGGTCAGGAGTTTGAGACCTGACCTGGTCAACATGGTGAAACCCCGTCTCCACTAAAAATACAAAAATTAGCTGAGCATGGTGGTGTACGCCTATAATCCCAGCTACTCAGGAGACTGTGATGGGAGAATTGCTTGAACCTGGGAGATGGAGGTTGCAGTGAGCTGAGATTGCACCACTGCATTCCAGCCTGGGTGATAGAGTAAGACTCCATCTCAAAAAAAAGAAAAGAAAAAAAAGTGTAGAATGATAGACTGTGGAGACTGGGAAGAAAGAAGGGATGGAAGAGGGGTGGATGAAGGGAAATTACTTAATGGGTACAATGTTTGCTGTTTGGGTGATGGATACCCTACAATCATGGACACTTCACAATCTATGCATGTGAGAAAATTGCACTTGTACCTTATACATTTATTTTTGAAAAAAATTCTTCTTTTATATGGTTAAATCTCATCTTCACAAAGTCAGTTCCCTCACCATACCAACTAATCAGAATTATATTTTTCTTTCTCTGATTTCTTTTTTTCTTTTCTTTTTTTTTTTTTTTTTTTGAGACTGAGTCTTGCTCTTGTCACCCAGGCTGGAGTGTAGTGGCATAATCTTGGCTTACTGCAACCTCTGCCTCCCAGGTTCAAGCAATTCTCCTGCCTCAGCCTCCTGAGTAGCTGGGATTACAGATGCCCGCCACCACGCCCGGCTAATATTTGTATATTTAGTAGAGACAGGTTTCGCCACATTTGCCAGGCTGGTCTCGAACTCCTGACCTCATGATCCACCCACTTCAGCCTCCCAAAGTGCTGGGATTACAGGCGTGAGCCACCATGCCCAGCCTCTCTGATTTCTTAAAACATTCCTTTGATCCTTACCTTGTACTATTTTAGATCTTAGTATTTCTTTTCTCCCCAATTAGTTGAAAAGTTCCTAGAAGAGAGCTGTTGGGGATTGAGCTAAGGCTTTCATGGTATTGTAGTAGTGCACCTAGGCATGTCCAAATCCTGCCTAAACCATTACCACTCTCCCCACTAATGTTCTGGAGGATGATGTGTACATGTGAGGGACAATGGCCAGTGGAAAATGAGGTAATGCTTCAGTGTTAGCAGGGCTGTACTTATAATCCCAGTACAGAGTGCTGTGGGGTGCTGGACTGAAGCACGAGCTTTGGCTCAAGTGGGGCCTCTTCCCTTAAATCCAAAATCTTACCCCTAGCTGGCAGCCTTTCCCAAAGAAATGTGAATGCCTGTGTCAGAAGAGGAAAGAAAATGCAAAATGATGTTTGTCCAACTGATAGGACCCTAATTGTGAAATGTGCCACACTCAACTGCAGGATATTTTATCTAAAATGACTTTACCTAGTAGTAAAAGTGGTTAACTAGTGCCACTTAGGATTTGATGTAATTAGTTTATCCACTAATTTTTGGGGAGGAACTAAGGGGAGAAAGCTGACTTTTCAATTCTCCCATATTCATTCAGTTTTAGTTCTTTTTTTTTTTTTTTTTTTTTTTTTTTTTTAAACAGGGTCTAACTCTGTCACCCAGACTGGTGTGCAGTGGCATGATTGTGGCTCACCGCAGCCTTGGCCTCATGGGCTCAGGTGATCCTCCAACCTCAGCCTCCCGAAAAGCTGGGACTATAGGCGCCCACCATCAGGCCTAGCTAATTTTTGTATTTTTAGTAGAGATAGGGTTTCACCATGTTGGCCAGTCTGGTCTCAAACTCCTGACCTCAAGGGATCCACCCGCCTCAGCTTCCCAAAGTGCTGGGGTTACAGGCATGAGCCATTGTCCTTAGGCTTGCGTTTATTATTTAACTTTTAAAAATTGTGGTAAAATACACATAACATAAAATTTACCATCCTATTTTTCAGTGTACAGTTCAGTGACGTCCAAGTTTATTATATTGTTACACAACTATCATTAAGTGCACCTTACAAAGAATAATGAAGACCAGATAGAAACAAATAAAAAATGTTTGACATAGTTTTTGTATTTTACCATTTTCCTTTAATGTTACTTCACTAAGCATATAACTATAAACAAAACTTGTTGCTTATAGGTGGAAGCTAGATAGAATTTGCAGAAATAGTAGTTACTTTGGTTTATTTTTTGTGTGTGTGTGTATGAGTCACTAAAACAAAATTGATCCACTTTGATGATTTGCCTGGGATTGAAACAGTAGGTCTTTCTCTTTTCCCAGTTCTCAGGACCAGAAAGGAGCCTTTCCCTTTAAGTGAGGGGCCTTGGGGGAAGGGAGACTACTATGCTTGGAAGGAGGACAGGCCTTTGAAACTTCATGCTAGAGAGGAAGGAAGACTTTAAGGAATTTGATACAAGGTTTATGGAGACAGGGAGGGACAACCAGGAGGTAAGAGAACAGATAAGAGTGGAAGCTACAAACCACCAAAGACTAAGCCTCCTTTTAGTTTCATGTGGAGCTCTGGCAATTGGCTATGTCTCCATTGTGCTAGAGACAATCATGCAGGTGCTATTTTGAAACAGCTACCAGTCTTGCATTGGTAGTGTTCAGTCATATTATCTAAAAGACGTACAGCCACGCATTGCTTAATGATGGGGATATGTTCTGAGAAAGGCATTATTAGGCGATTTTATGATCGTGTGAACGTAGAGTGTAATTACAGAAACCTAGATAGTCTAGCTGACCACATACCTAGGCTGTATGGCATAGCCTATTGCTTCCAGGCTATAAGCCTGTATAACATGTTACTGTACTGACTACTGTAGGCGTTTGTAACCCAACAGTAAGTATGTATCTGAACATATTTAGACAGAAAAAAGATAAAATAAAAATATAGTGTTATCATTTTAAGGGACCATGTTGCATATATGGTCCATTGTTGACTGAGATGTTAGGTGTGGTACATGACTGTATTTGTCAATCAACTGAGGGTTCAGAAGAGAGTAAATGCTTTTTTGGTGTGTGATAAAAAGTCTTACATTAAAAGGAAATTGATTTTTCAATTTTGAAAACAGGAATTGATATTCTGGTAAATAATGCCAGTGCCATTAGCTTGACCAACACACTGGACACACCTACTAAGAGAGTGGATCTGATGATGAACGTGAACACCAGAGGCACCTACCTTACGTAAGTTTGCAAGAAGAGTTGTGGGGGAGGATGTTGTGGTGTTCTCTCAGGGAACTTACTTAGTTGTAAACAGATTTGAGTCAAATTAACAGTGTAGTTCAAAATCTAGTCAATCCTTATAAAGGCCTAAAAGTCCTTCATTCGGTCAATAGTATTATATTTTATTTTATTATTTTTTTATATATATTTTTTTGAGATGGAGTTTCGTTCTTGTTGCCCAGGCTGGAGTGCAGTGGCACGATCTCAGCTCCCTGCAACCTCTGCCTCCCAGGTTCAAGCGATTCTCCTGCCTCAGCCTCCCGAGTAGCTGGGATTACAGGCGCCCACCACCATACCCAGCCAATTTTTTGTATTTTTAGTAGAGACAGGGTTTCACCATGTTGGCCAGGCTGGTCTTGAACTCCTGACCTCAGGTGATCCACCCACCTTGGCCTCCCAAAGTGCTGGGATTACAGGCATGAGCCACCACACCCGGCCCAATAGTATTTTAAATAGCTTTATTTGGAGCTCCTTTTCTCTATGAATTTAGGAGAGACCTAAGTAGGCTGAGTGCGGTGGCTCACACCTGTAATTTCCACACTTTGGGTGAGGGGAGGATTATTGGAGGCCAGGAGATCGAGACTGGGATGCACAAGATGGCAAGACGCTGTCTCTACAAAAAAAATTTTTTTAAATCAGGCAGGCATAGTGGTGTGTGCCTACTGAGACCATGGTGGTGGTCTCATTTACTCAGGAGGCTGAGGCAAGAGGATCCCTTGAGCCCAGGAGTTTGAGGCTGCAGTGGGCTATGATCATGCCACTGCACTCCAGCCTGGACAGAGAAAGACTCTGTCTCCAAAGGAAAAAAAAGGACTAAAGGGTAGCTCAAGCATTTTCTCAAATATTTGCATGTGTAAATACTTACATGTATACTCTGTCTTTCATAGGACACAGTCCTTTCATAGAACTGTTTCTGATTACTGAAGCCAGCAATAGTCTTCTTCCTCTGAAAAAGAACGGGAGTTAAATTAAAAAAAAAAAGGCTTAGGTTTTAGTTATTTAAATAACAGTAAGGTCATTCTCATTATGAATCACACTTTGTTGTAACCAATAAAAAGGCTAACACTTTTTTGGGCTTTGCCGGGGAAATGTAGAATATCAAATGAAAGAACATAGTCCTGATCTGTTCTGGATTCATCAGACAACTCATCTTATTGTCCATTTATTTATTTGTTTATTTACCCTCTGGTTCTATCATTTTCTATGTGAGTATCAGGATACACCAGGGTAGAACTTGCTTCTGTACCTTACGTGTATCTTGTTACACACAGAACAGGTGGTTAGGAGCTCAGACTTTGGAATAAGACTGCTTGGATTCAAATCTTAACACTCACCCTTCATGACTTTCTATTTTGTGACCTTGGACAAGTAACTTAACTTCTTGCAGATTCAGTTTCTTTACTTTTAAAATGGCAATAATAAAGTAGAATGTTATAGGGTTGGTCATGAGGGTTAAATATCTAAGTTATTAAGTTAGAGTCCTGAATTTTTCCCTCAGGTATGTTTTGTTGGGTCTGCAAAACTTGGCCCAGACAGTGTTAAAACAAAATTATTTTCATGAGTTACCTACATTCAAAGTTTTATTAGTTAGGGCCAGGCAGGGTGGCTCATGCTTGGAATCCCAGCACTTTGGGAGGCTGAGCCAGGCAGGTCACTTGAGCCCAGGAGCTCAAAACCGGCCTAGACAACATGGCAAAACCCTGTCTCTACAAAAAATAGAAAAATTAGCTGGGCATGGTGGCACATGTGCCTGTAGTCCCAGCTACTCAGGAAGCTGAAGTGGGGGGATTGCCTGAATCTGGGAGGTGGACGTTGCTGTGAGCTGAGATCACGCTACTGCGCTCCAGCCTGGGCAACAGAGCGAGACCCTGTCTCAAAAACTTTATTGGTTGCTTATGTTGAAAAAACTAGAAGATTTATATAAAAGTCCAGATTCCTAGCTTTTCTTGAAATGTTAGAAGATCTGGCCACATAGAGAAGCATTACCACATGGCAATAGTTGCTGTAGCTGAGTGGCAGGGTATCAACTACCTCATTAGATGGGGCCAGAGCTCTGTTGTCTTCTGGATGCTGAGGACAGGCTAACAAGTTATATCATTGTGTTTACACTGTTGTTTTTTCTTATATGAAAGAGGAAAGTGAAATATTTCTCATAACCACATCTCTCTCTGAAGTAGGAAAATGAGACTTATGCCAAGAGGGCTGTATATTCAAGTAAAATGGGTGAAAGCTTACTTGTTTGTAGATATGAGGCATATTTCTACAAATTCACTATGTAAGGTATGTCTCTATTGAATGAAACCATATTGAACCCGACCATAGCAAGAATTATGGCAACTGGCTGGGCATGGTGGCTTGTAATCCCAGCACTTTGGGAGGCCAGTGCAGGCAGATCACCTGAGGTCAGGAGTTTAAGACCAGCCAGGCCAACATGGTAGAAACCCTGTCTCTACTAAAAATACAAAAAATTAGCCGGGCATGGTGGTGCGCACCTGTTACTCGACTACTCTGGAGGCTGAGGCAGAAGAATCGCTTGAACCCAGGAGGCAGAGGCTGCCGTAAGCCAAGATCGCACCACTGTACTCCAGCTTGGGCGACAGAGTGAGACTCTGTCTCAAAAAGAAAAAAAGAATTATGGCAAGCGTATAGATTGTAGTGAAAAACTTGAACTAGAAAAGGAATTCATTTTTCAAGAGTTTGTGTTTCTTTTCAAATAAAATAGGCAATGTTGCTATGTGATACTGTCATGGTACTAGAAAAAATTATATGGGAATCAAAATCTTTTACAGCTGGCAACTTTGTGAAATAAGTTCAATTGAAAGTTAAGTATTTGTTTAAACAAATGCTTAAAAATATAAACCTAGCCAGGAATACTATTGCTCAACATGTTAAACTAAGGCTTAGTTAAGGGCATGTTGTGTGAATAAGTTTAATGATTTATGGCAGTTTCTATTGTAGATGATGAAGCCACAGATATACATATACAGGTTGAGTATCCTTGGTTTGAAAATCCCAAATCCAGAATGCTCTGAGATCTGAAACTCTGAGTGCTGACTCAACGCTCAAAAGAAATGTTCATTGGAACATTATGGATTTCAGATTTTTGGAGTAGGGATGTTGAACTGGTTAAGTATAATGCAGATATTTCAGAATGGAATCTGAAACAATTCTGCTCCCAAGCATAAGGGTTACTAAACTTGTACCACACACCTAGGTATATGGCGTCAGGAGAATTTCGAAGTGATTAAAAAGGTTTTAGACTGGGTATTCATGACATGAAATGACTTCTAAGGTATTGACAGATATCTTGGCAAGTTTAAGGTAGATTTGTCAAAACTAGTAATCATAACTAGAGACAGTGCTGTAGTAGTGGTCAGTGTTAACTTTAGACTTATTAAAAATCTAAACAAATGTAGATATATGTTTTGCAGGGGTGCAGAAATTGTTTGTTCATTGTATCATTTGCTAGGAATTGCTCCCTACTAACAAAGTTAAAAACATACATGTTTTCTTTCCACAAGATGATCCATACAAGTAAAGCACTGAATTTTATGTAGATTTGTCAAAATTGGTAATCATAACTATGGACTTGACGTTTTAAACTGACATTATGACTGATGTGTACATAAATGTATGAGTCTTTTTGTTTTTTTCCTTGTGAAATTATGTCTTTGGAAAGCCCATTTGGCAAAAATAATTTAGTCTACTTTCCTGTATTGAGGTCATTTTTCAAAAATGAAAGTGATGTCTTAACCCACATTTTTAGATGTGAAGGTTCAATTAAAAACAAAATAGACCAGGTGGGGTAGCTCCTGCTTGTAATCTCTGCACTTTGGGAGGCCGAGGCGGGTGGATTACTTGAGCCCAGAAGTTCGAGACCAACCTGGGCAACACAGTGAACCCTGTCTCTATTTAAAAAAAAATTAAAGTTAAAATTAAAACTCTTGCACAAAGATTCTGTTCACTATTGAAAGTGCCTACCTTTATAAACAGCTGCGTAAAAAAAAATCCACTAAATAAAATTAAATATTGCTCCCAGTTAAAAGCGGATTGCAATGCCAAATGAAAGACCTCACACTGACCTTTGGGTTAAAGAAAAGTGTCAGAGTTTTGGCCTTCTATGAAAGGTATGTTATAAAATGAAAATTCATAATGAAATATTTCTATTTTGGCCAGGCAGGCGGTGGCTCACACCTGTATTCCCAGCACTTTGGGAGGCTGAGGCGGGTGGATCATGAGGTTGGGAAATCAAGACCATCCTGGCTAACACAGTGAAACCCTATCTCTACTACAAATACAAAAAATTAGCTGGGCGTGGTGGCGGGCGCCTTGTAGTCCCAGCTACTCGGGAGGCTGAGGCAGGAGAATGGCGTGAACCCGGGAGGCGGAGCTTGCAGTGAGCTGAGATCGCGCCACTTCACTCCAGCCTGGGCAACAGAGTGAGACTCCGTCTCAAAAAAAAAAAAAAAGGTGGATTGGCCCGGCATGACGGCTCATGCTTGTAATCCTAGTACTTTGGGAGGCTGAGGTGGGTAGATCGCTTGAGTCCAGGAGTTTGAGACAAGCCTGGGCAACATAGCAAGACCCTGTTTCTAAAAAAAAAAAAAAAAAAAAATTACAAAAACTATCCAGGTAGCTGGGCATGCTGGCACATGCCTGTAGTCCCAGCTACTTAGGAGGCTGAGGTGAGAGGACCGCTTGAGCTGGGGAGGTAGAGGCTACAATGAGATGTGATCATACCACTGCACTCCATCCTGTCAGCAGAGACACCCTGTCTTAAAATTAAAAAAAAAGAAAAGAAAAAGGAGAAGTTAGCTGGTAGCAGTGGTTCACACCTGTAAACCTGTAATCCTGGCACTTCGGGAGGCTGAGGTAGGAAGAGTGCGTGAGTCCATGGGGTTCAAGACCAGCCTGGGCAGCAATGCTAGACCCTATCTCAAAAAAAAATTACAAAAATTAGTGGAGCATGGTGGTGCACACCTGTAGTTCCAGCTACTCAGAAAGCTGAGGCGGGAGGATTGCTTGAGCCCAGGCGCCCAGGAACTCAAGGCTTTAGCAAACTGTGATTGAGCCATGCACTCCAGCCTGGGCAACAGAGTGAGGCCCCGTCTCTTTAAAAAAAAAAAAAAAAAAAAGTGGAGAAATTTAGAAAGCTGTTTAATTTGACTTGTATTTTCTTTTGCTTTCAGATCTAAAGCATGTATTCCTTATTTGAAAAAGAGTAAAGTTGCTCATATCCTCAATATCAGTCCACCACTAAACCTAAATCCAGTTTGGTTCAAAGAGCACTGTGGTAGGTGGTAGGGTGAGGGGATGGTTTGTGCTTAATTTGTTTTGAATTAAATCTGTGTATGTCTGATGTAATCATAATCTGCACATAACAATCAGCATTGAATTTTCTATGCCAAATCATTAAGTGGCATTTGGAAAGCAGATTCTTAATCTTTTATCTGTAATTTAAAAAAAACTGAGGCATAATTTACATTCAATAAAATGCCCAGCTCTTAATGGTTCAGTTTGATGAATTTTGAGAAATGTATATAACCAACATCCAAATCAAGATACAGATTTTTACCATTTCAGAAAGCTCTTTCATTTCCCAATGAGTGTGTTTTACTGTGTGTAATTTATTTGTCTATAAAGTTGGTTAAAAACTATCTATGGGATACTTTATTTTTCTTAGCCAGGTATGCACCTGTAGTCCTAGCTACTTGGGAGGCTGAGGTGGGAGGATCGCTTGAGCCCAGGAGTTTGAGGCTGCAGTGAGCTATGATCATGGTATGCACTCCCGCCTGGGTGACAGAGAGAGACCCTGACTCAAAAAAAAAACAAACACGACCAAAAAAAAAAAAAAAACTATTACCTTTCATAGCATACCAATGGTTTAAGGTAAATATGCTAAGCAACAAGATTTACATATAGGTGCCTCCTTTAAAATAGTTGTACCAAACACTTAGTTTTTATTTCAGCACAATTCACTAACATTTGGAAAGGCACTTGGAATGGGAACCCACAGAGCAAAACTGAAAGTTGTTTCGCTTTAATTGACTAGGTTAAATACATTTGCAGCCTTTTGTAATGATTGTTTTACTAGCAGCAGTTTCCCTTTAAATAAACACTTTCATACTTAAAAAAAAAAAAAAGAGTCCAGACATGGTGGTTCAGATCTGTAATCCCAGCACTTTGGGAAGCCGAGGCAGGCAGATCACTTGAGGCCAGGAGTTTGAGACCAGCCTGGCCAACATAGTGAAGCTCCATCTCTACTAAAAATACAAAAATTAGCTGGGCATGGTGGCACACACCTGTAATCCCAGCTGCTCAGAGGCTGGGGCACAAGAATCACTTGAACCAGGGAGGTGGAGTTTGCAGTGAGCCAAGATCACACCACTGTGCTCTAGCCTGGGCAACAGAGTGAAACTGCGTCTCAAAAAAAAAAAAAAAAAAAAAGGTGTAACATATTAAGAAATAATGTAATTTACCCTTATAGTATTAAGAAAAATGAAAGTTTATTACTGTCACTTTTATTTTAATCAAATATTAGGAGGGAAATATATAAAACGATTTCATCTCTGTTCACTTCTATAAAAACTGTTCTTTAGAAAATAGTACATTTAAAAGTTATATTTTATATTATTGAAAAGAATTCTCAAAAATATATCAGGGAGGCTGAGTGTGGTGGCTCATACCTGTAATCCCAGCACTTTGGGAGACCAAGGCAGATGGATTGCTTGAGCCCAGGAGTTCAAGACCAGGCTAGGCAACATGGCAAAGCCCTGTCTCTACAACAAATTGAAAAATTAGTCAGGCTTGGTGGCACGTGCCCATAGTCCCAGCTACTTGGGAGGCTGAGGTGGGAGGGTCGCTTGAGCCCAGGAGGTAGAGGCTGCAGTGAGTCATGATTACACCACTGCACTCCAGCCCAAGTGATAGAGTGAGACCTTGTCTCAAAAAAAAAAAAGAATATGTGTATACATATGTATATATGTATGTGTGTCTGTATACATGTGTGTATTACTGTTTTTTTCCTGATATATATCTGTGTGTGGATATGTTGTATGTATATACATGTGTATACATATATGTATACATGTGTATACACATGTATATACATATATGTATACACACACATACACACATATATATGTATATACATACATACATATATCGGGAAGAAAATAGTAATAGAAAAATTGGTTATTTCTACTCACAAGTTAATCAAATTAATTTCTTTTATAATTAGATTATTATTTTTTGTACTTCTTTCAGCTTATACCATTGCTAAGTATGGTATGTCTATGTATGTGCTTGGAATGGCAGAAGAATTTAAAGGTGAAATTGCAGTCAATGCATTATGGCCTAAAACAGGTATGTATTTTTAAAAACTTCATTTGGTAGATTTTCATGTATTGTCCCTGACACTTATTATTTTTTTGATCCAGGGTGGAGTGCAGTGGTGTGATCTCGGCTCACTGCAACCTCTGCCTCCCGGGTTCCAGCAGTTCTTGTGCCTCAGCCTCCCAAGCAGCTGGTCTCAATCCCTTGACCTCGTGATCTGCCAGCCTCGGCCTCCCAAAGTGCTGGGATTACAGGTGTGAGCCACTGTGCCCGGCCTCTTCATTACATTTTTAAATTTTTTTTTGTATTTTTTTTTAGTAGAAAGGGGGTTTTGCCACGTTTGCCAGGCTGGTCTTGAACTTCTTGCCTCAAGTGATACAGCCTCCTTGGCCTCCCAAAGTGCTGGAATTACAGGCATGAGCCACTGCGCCAGCCTCATTACATTTTTTAAAACACTTCTAGGCCGGGCGCGGTGGCTCACGCCTGTAATCCCAGCACTTTGGGAGACGAAGGCGGGCGGATCACAAGGTCAGGAGATTGAGACTATCCTGGCTAACACGGTGAAACCCCGTCTCTACTAAAAATACAAAAAATAGCTGGGCATGGTGGCGGGTGCCTGTAGTCCCAGCTGCTCGGGAGGCTGAGGCAGGAGAATGGCATGAAACTGGGAGACTGAGCTTGCAGTGAGCCGAGATCGCACCACTGCACTCCAGCCTGGGAGACAGTAAAACTCCGTCTTGGGAAAAAAACCACAAAAACAAAGAAAAATCACTTCTACTGATGGCAAATTGGAATCTTTTTCACTGAATTTGCCGGCAGAGGGGGTTTCTAGGAAGATGACTACTGGAAGTCATGTCCCTGCTATCCCTTCCGTTCCCCTGATTGGAGCAGCTGCTACGGTGGTGGGCAGGTAGGACTAGGAAGGAAGGAGTAGGACTTGATTCTGTAAGAGAAGGAACTTGAGAAGCTTGTGAAAGACTGTTCTCTCTGAGCTAGAGGACAGAATGGAGCCAGGGCAGAGAACTTGAGAAAGAACAGATACTCAGAAGTTCCTGGAGAGGGCTTTGACCATGGAGATCTGAGGACTCAACGGGGTGGCTCAACAGGCAAGGTAAGTATTTCCTATCCTTGAGGTGTGGAAGTGAGGAGACCTTGGAGACTTCATCAAGTCCCAAAATAGATTCAGTGACTAGTATATCTGATATGATAACTTACTACTGCTGGCAACGCTGGCATCGTTTAAACTATCCTGGTGACAGAGCGAGACTGTCTCAAAAAAAAAAAGCTACATAAGGGTGAACAGTGCTATGAGGAAACAAAGAAAAATGGTAGTACAGCTAAGAGGACCCAATATCCAGACACAGAAAAAATAAACAGAATACCCAGAATAGTAGTTTTCAGTGAAATAAAACTGCTAAAGAAACAGAAAATACCTCAGTTCAAAAAGAAAAATCATAACATAAGAGATTGAATTATAGTATGAAAAATGCTTTCTGGAACTAAAAATAGATTGTGTTTTTAAAATACATAATGGGCCGGGTGCGGTGGCTCATGCCTGTAATCCCAGCACTTTGGGAGGCCCAGACGGGCAGATCACGAGGTCAGGAGATTGAGACCATCCTGGCTAACACGGTGACACCCCGTCTCTACTAAAAACACAAAAAATTAGCCGGGCGTGGTGTCGGGCGCCTGTAGTCCCAGCTACTCGGGAGGCTGAGGCAGGAGAATGGCGTGAGCCCGGGAGGCGGAGCTTGCAGTAAGTCGAGATGGCGCCACTGCACTCCAGCCTGGGCGACAGAGCGAGACTCCGTCTCAAAAAACAAACAAACAAACAAAAAAAACAAATAAAATACATACATGTATATAGTAGTTGAAGGGTTGGATGTTGAGTAACACCTGAGTAAGCAGCTTGGATAGTCTACTGCAAGAAATATCTCAGAAGAGCAAAAACACCCTGAAGAAAATGGAGAGAGGCTTAGAGGACACATCCAGGGAACTTCACATGCAAATATCAGAAGTCCCAGAAGGATATCTGGAAAGAGAACAAATAGAGGAGAAACAATAATTGAATGACTAATAGGAAACAATTCCCTTGAGCAGAAGAAAGACCAATATGGATGTAGACTAAAAGGTTGACCAGATTTGAGGCTGAATTTATGAGGGGGAGAAAGACATCTGGGAGAACTTCAGAATTTCAAGGATAAAAAAATCTTCCAAGCCTTCAGGCAGAATATATGTTACTTACAAAGGAAAAAGATTGCAGACTCTTTTATCTTCAATGCCAGAAACTAGAAGGCAGTGGAATAACATCTGTACGTTACTGATGGAAAGGGATTCAGCCAAGGTAGTTATTTATTGACAAGATGAAGGGAAGATATGTGGATATGCTACCACACTTGAGAAGAGTCTTATAGAAAGGGCTGTTAACCAAGCAGCAAATCTGTCAGAACAGGGAGTTTTCAAGATAGGAGTCAGAAAAAAAGAGGAGAGAAAATAATGGCTAGCAAATAAACCTGTAGTATATTTAATATATGGTCAAATGTACATGGATTACCTAGAATAACTGGGAATATGAAATACAGGTACCAAATATCAACTCTCTACATTGAAGAGATAGGAGAAGAGAAAAGTTTAATACTTGTCTGTAGTATAGGCACCTGCCGCTGTGCCCGGCTAAATTTTGACTACACTGTCTTCAAAACCTAGATTTTGGGGAAGAGGGAAATGTGGAAGTCATTGAATTCTTTTCTTTTCTTTCTTTTTTTTTTTTTGAGACGAGTTTTGTTCTTGTCACCCAGGCTGGAGTGCAGTGGCACAATCTTGGCTCACTGCAACCTCTGCTTCCCGAGTAGCTAGGACTACAGGCATGCACTATCACGCCCAGCAAATTTTTGTATTTTTAATAGAGAGGGGGTTTCACCATGTTGGCCAGACTGGTCTCAAACTCCTGACCTCAGGTGATCCACCTGCCTCGGCCTCCCAAAGTGCTGGGATTACAGGCATGAGCTACTGCACCAGGCCAGAAGTCACTGAATTCTGAAGGACTCATATGAGCATGGGAAGATTAGGGAAGGGAACGCTTTCTCACCGTCTCGTTTTGAGGCAGCTACAATTCTAGATAGTGTCTTTGTTGTTGTTGTTTGTTTGTTTTTTGAGACAGTCTCACTCTGTTGCCTAGGCTGGAGTGCAGTGGCGCAGTCGGCTCACTGCAACCTCTGCCTCTGAGGCTCAAGTGATTCTTGTGCCTCAGTCTCCCAAATGGCTGGGATTACAGGCACTCGCCACCATGCCCAGCTAATTTTTGTATTTTTAGTAGAGATAGGGTTTCACCATGTTGGCCGGGCTGGTCTTGAACTCCTGAACTCAGATGATCCTCCTGCCTTGGCCTCCCAAAGTGCTGGGATTATAGGCATGAGCCACCACACACACCCGCCCTAGATGGTATCTTTTAAAAAAATTATATTTTCTGTTTGGTGCTAGGGTGTAGAAATGTTTTTGCATTTAAACATTATAGGCAGCTATCTTTCTAAACTTTCTTGTTGAGTCTAATAATTTAGAGTCTCTTGGATTTTCTGTGCAGGTAATCATATAATCTATAATAACATTCCAATTCTTATGTCCTTGGTTTCTTTTTTTCTTGCTTTACTGCACTCTTTTCTCTCCTTCTCTCTAGCCTTCACTAGTAGTTTTCTCTTGACTTATTGAGAGCCCAGCAGTGCTTTTAAAAAATGCTTATTGCTTATTTATAGTTTTATTGTAATGAGACAGCCCTTTAGAGTTTATAAGTCATCATATAGTTGATACATGAACAATGCGGTGTTAGGGATGCCAGCCCCCAGCAGCGAAAAAAAGAAAATGTATTTCCAGAAGCAGAAGACTAGTCCTATCCATTTTTAGTTAGATATATTACTAGATATTTTATATATATATATATATATATTTTTTTTTTTTTGAGATGGAGTCTTGCCCTGTCGCCCAGGCTGGAGTGCAGTGGCGTGATCTCAGCTCACTGCAAGCTCCACCGCCTCCCGGGTTCACGCCATTCTCCTGCCTCAGTCTCCCGAGAAGCTGGGACTACAGGCGCCCGCCACCACGCCCGGCTAATTTTTTTTTGTATTTTTAGTAGAGACGGGGTTTGACCGTGTTTGCCAGGATGGTCTCGATCTCCTAACCTTGTGATCCGCCCGCCTCGGCCTCCCAAAGTGCCGGTATTACAGGCGTGAGCCACCGCACCCAGCCAATATTTTATATTTTTATTGTTTTCAATATATTTTCTAATTTGTTAAAGTATATATAAATATAAAAATGATATATCTTTATTACAAATATACTAGTAAACTGAACTCTCTTATTAGTACTAAAAAGTTTTCTGCAGATTCTCCTAGTTTTTTTAGGTTTAAAGTCTTATCACAAAAAGTGACAATTGTGTTTCTGCCTTTTCCTTATATGTTAAATTATGTTTCCTTTTCTTATTAGATTAGCTAATCCTTTTAGAACAATGTTGAATAGTAACAATGATGGGACGTATATTTGTTGTGTTCTTGTCAATAATGGGAAGGCTTTTCTTTTCATCATTATATATACACAGTTTCTTCCCTTTTTTTAACTTCAGTTCTTGCATCCTTTCTACTACTTAATGCTGTGTTAGTATTAAATGTGATAGTTAAGGCATTAAGGTCTTACTGGATTTGCTGGAAATTTTTGTGTAATGTTCCTATCTACCAAGTGGACTTGGTAAGTTGGTAACTTATACTGAACTACCATAAAATCTCCATGTAAGTTTTTAAATGCTTAATAAAATTGAAATATTACTTTTTAGTCATATCTCAAACTTGGAACTATTGGAGAATTAAGCAGTAACATACTGTTTCTGCCGTTAGTGGTTTACAAATTTTGTTAGGGCAAATAAATCATATAAATATAATGCAGCCAGAGAGGTAATCTAGATACTCTTCAAATGTTTGAACTCTTGATTGTAAAGTTGCAAATAGGCTTCCATAATCTATTAATTATGGAAATTAGTTCCATCT